ACTCGCGCTGTGAATCCAGAAAGTTGTGGCGAGTGGTAACGTAGAGTTTTGCAATATCAACATCTAAAAACCGAAGCCAACCTTGCTGTGTTTCAGACCGTGAGCTGCACTTTATTGGAGATGCTGAAGTTAACATGTGTGTTGATTTTTGTTGAGATTTCTGCCTAATCAGTGTTTTTTGTTGGTTTCAGTTTCTCATGCAACATGCAGTCCCAAACTATCGGTCAAACGGTCTAAGGCCTATCAGCAAAGCAGTGACGTAATGCTCAGGAGACTGTAGGGCAGGTAGACTTAAAATAAAAATATTATGAATTCTCATTAAATTATGACGTTAGTCTCGTAGTATTAGCTACTTTTTTTCTCAACATGTCAGAGAACACATATGTGGGAGAGATTATGAATGTGCAGAGAGTTTTGAATACGAACAGAAATCCTGCTGAAACACAGGAACTATTAGTATAAGACCAGGAGGAGAAAATATTAAATTGTACAGCTATACGGTGTATTTATGCCTTCGTTTTGTTTGTATTTGCTACCATAACTCTTTCATTTCGACATTTCAACATTAATATTTTTATGTGCCCTTGTATAAGATATTCTCAAACAATTAGTGAACTCACCAACAGTAGCCTAAATAAGATTAAGTGGATGCAATGTATTGTGCAAGAATAACACTATGTACAGCACTGTCAGTTTTCAAATACTGCACCATCACTAGTTATTTCAAAATGATAAATCAATACTCTTCAACTCTGTAGTAAACAATAATTCTGACATTATAGGCAGCACTCAATACATTCTCAAAATGAAACTGAGAACCATAACAAAATATTTTCTACTCTTAATCAGTAATTAATGCTCAGCTCTGTACAGTTAAAGTATAAAATTAATCTTAAACACAATTCAGGTCAATACAGTGGAAAGTTTTCATCCTTTAGAGGTACAGACTCCACACTTAGGCAGCCTCCTGCACTGCCTTCGGGAGATCTCTTTCCAGCAAAAAAACTAATGGGCACCATAACCATGTCAAAGGAACTCATTGATCGTTGATTGGCCACTTCACTCAGTTATGACTTTACGTCTAAACTAGTGAGGTTCTGCTCCAAGAAGTTGTAGTGCAATCCAAAAATTTTTTTTAGTCTCTAGTGTTGACTTTCCACCCTAACATAGGAGAGAACACACAGCTGGTCCAGCCGATCGAGTGCTAATCTAATGTCAGAGAGCTAAAAATTTCCAAAAAAAATCATTTATTTAAGAAATGTTAGGGGAGCCCATGGGTTAGCCCTTTGGTGCCTTCATGTCTCTTCTGCACTTGAACAGCTTATCTGTGTTTACTTAATGCTGTTCTGTGTTGTAGAAAGTCCAGATGTCTTGTTGCATGTAAAACCTCAAACCAACCTGAGTGTGATTTCTCTTTAGTTCTGACCTCACTGCTGAGCTGCACAACAAACCAAGGTGAGAAAACTTCTTCTGTCACAGCTGAAAAGTTATTCACTTCCTGATAGAACAGTTAGTGTTTAGGACAGTGTTTGGGGAGGGAAACAGACACTTTACAAATACAATAAAACACTGAATGCAGTTTGATGCCACAGTGTTGCAGACTGGAGCCAAAGCTAAAACTGCTGCTGTAAAAGTGGAAGTCAGTAACTGCACAGCACCATACAGTGGCAACAGGAGAAGAAGAAAAACTAAGGCTACAGTTGCCATAACAACAGCAGGAGTATAGAGCAAAATTATTGATTGGTATCAAAGATAAATAAACAGTTCACAGAAAACAATATATTTCCAAGTTAGGCACATGTGCCTACCAATATCCAGCGACTACTGAAAAGTCCCTAACGATCATTTTTATTAAAACATTCAAATACAAAAACTGATGTAGCTGCTGTCTCATCTGGAAAACATATCTTAAAGTAACATAGAATGTGACAGGTTTGTTGAGTGAACAAACAGGTTTTGGGCTCAAATGAAGGACAAGGAGCAAACAGGAAGAGTTCTAATAATTTATTAACCCACACAACACATGCTTGATAAATTCAGTGACTTAGGTTTAGGTACTAACATTTCTGATGGTTGTGGTAAGGGTAGGGGCTTCGGGGGGCTGTCAACACCTTTATCATGAACGTATCTAGCTACCACTAGCTAGTTAGCTATGTTGCGCCCTGTCCAAACAATCCAGTACAGAAAAATCCAAGCTGAGGCAAAACTCCACAAACACAGAAGTCAAAGAGTTGGCAGGGTTACAGGCAGAACTCTGATAGAGTAATATGGCAGGAAAGTCACTCGACACGACACGACATGACATGACACAACAATAATCCATCAAAGAATGAACTAAGTACAGCAGGGGTATTCAATTAGAATTCAAAGAGGTCCAGTTAGAGAAAATTTCCCGAAGTAAAGGTCTGGAACATCAAAACGACTAACTTACGTTATCATTCAGGGCCATAACGGATAGTTGTATCAACATATATGTATTTAGTCAACAACTGACAATATTTCTACAATTTTCACATCAAACTGGAGGGATAATAAATAATAAACACTCTAATAATAAATTCTAAATTTAAGTAAACTAAAATAAAGTCCCTAATTTTTTTTAGAAAAAATTTAATAAAAACTGTAGCTTGAAGTGATAAAGTGTAGTCTTAACCTATTTTGTAATAAACACTCAAAACATCTTAACAAATGAACAACTGTAATGCCTCCCCTTTCATTCCCTCTTATAGAGCTACCACTTTCCTACTTTCTCTTGTTCAGTGAAAAACGTGAGCTCTAGTTTGTCCAGCCAACTACTGGACCACGGTCCGCCTATTAGTGACCTCTGGAGTACAGGGTATGCACGAAGATTTTTAAAAATTTATATTGCATTTCAAGAATAAAGTGGAACTGTGTATAAAGTTGAAATGGTACTTGAACTTTATTCTCATCATGTTCGATCTCGACATTTCTACTTTATTCTCAAAATGCAAAACAAAACAAAAAATCTTGATCCAATTTTTTTCCTAATGTGGCCCTAATACTCCATCATATTATGACTGGTCATGAACCACCCAATCTTTTCCTATGCGGGGACAGGTAATCGGGGGAGGGGGTTTCAGTAGCCTAAATGTTCGTGGTACAGGCCCCAGGTGCAACACATCAGGAAATCGATGTAATGTCCTACATCAGTTTCTGTGAGGACAGCTGCATCCCAACATGAACCAGGGTGACTTATAACAATGACAAACCCTGGTTCACAGTTAAGCTCAGACAGTGGAGGTTGGAAAGGGAAGAGGCGTTTAGGAGTGCCAGGCCAGGTTTAAGGAGTCAAAGTACAGGTTTAGCAAGGCAGCGCAAGATGTTAAACAGCTGTACGCAGACACACAAACAGGCAGGTGGACACACAGGTGACCCCAATCAGGAAAACAGGCAGAACAGACACAGGACTAGAACAGCACTGGTACAGGGAACGCCGACAGGCAGGATTGTGACAGAATGCTTGAGAGCCCTATTGCATTTTATTCTGTTATAGTTTTACATTTTAAATTGTCACCTGCCACCAAAATGTGTTTCCCTACCAAAATATAGATAATTGCACCATAAATTGATGGAAAACAGTTACCAAAATGCAGGAAAACACCCTAGATTCACCCATGTGTATCCTCACCAGTGTTCAAATGAAACCTATGCCCTTGACGTCTGCTGTGACATTGCATGTAGAAAACATGAAGAAAGAATTAGTTTGTCAACAGATATCTCACTTTGATTCAGATTTCTTCTCTGATACGCAGCACCTGAAACACAGAGATCAGTTCAGAAATAGAAAGCAAGGCATATAGGAAATGTGAAGAAAATATATATTTTTTTTAAATGCCATTAATCATCTCTAACCACATCTTTCTGTCTCTTCCTCCAGCCTCTCTGACTGTGAGTCCCAGCCGCTCTCAGCTGTTTCATGGAGAGTCTGTCTCTCTGAGCTGTGAGGAGGACGACAGCTCTGCTGGATGGACGCTGAGGAGGAACACAACCAGAGAAACCAGGACTCAGTGTAAGGAATGGAGTGGAGAGCCAGCTGGTTCTTCCTGTAACATCAGCTACATCACTCCATTGGACAGTGGAGTTTACTGGTGTGAGTCCAGAGAGGGAGCAACCAGTAACACCATCAACATCACTGTCACTGGTAAGATCAGACTGTGGAGTTAGTGTTGATGAAGCTGTGTGTATCTGTGTTTATAATTATTTTGGCCTTGTCTGCTCTGTGTTTAATTCTTGTTTGTTTGTTTACATGGTTATGGTCTCTGTTTCTGAGGTTTTGTGTTGGTATTAGCGTTCTTGTCTTGTTCAGTCTTATTTTGTAATGGCCTGTGTCGCATGCTTGTTGTGATCTTGGTCTGCATGTCTGTGTGATTGTCTGTTCCAAGTGAATTTTAATGTCTGTTCAGGTGTTCGTCTCTACTGTTTTGTCTGTTATTGCTCAGTCAGTTTGGTCCAAGTTTCAGCATCTTGTCCTGTTTCCTGTTTAAGTTTGAAGTTGTCTGCATCTGTTGTCTGTGTCTAGTTTTGCTTCCTGGTCTCTGATTTCCTTTTGAGTTACATCTGTTTGTGTTCCGCCCTGCTCGTTTGCCGTTGTATATATTGCCTGTTTTTCTGTTCAGTCATGTTGGATCATTGTAGCTTGTTCGTGCTCTGTCTTGTGCCTTGTCTTGCCCCAGTTTGTTGTGACTGTTTCCTGCTTGGATCATTGTCTGTCTCATGTGTTTTGTATTTGGACCTTCCTTTGCATTGTTGGACTCCCTCTGTTTGGACATTACCTTTTCTGTTGGATTTATTGAGGTGGACCAGTGATCCTGCAGAGTCCTGTCCTCCCTGTGATGGAGGGACATGATGTCACTCTGCACTGTAAAACAGAGACCCCTCCCTCCAACCTCCAAGCTGGTTTCTATAAAGATGGCTCCCTCATCAGGACTGAGCCTACAGGTCACATGACCATCCACCATGTTTCCAAGTCTGATGAAGGCCTCTACAAGTGTAACATCAGAGGTCGTGGAGAGTCTCCATCCAGCTGGATCTCTGTCACAGGTGAGGAGCTCAAAGATAATTCTCAAACTGACCTTGTTTTGTTTTCTACATTGAGTTCAGCAGATTTCAGGACAGCAGAGATGATTCATGATGCGACAACATTTCTAACTTTGCAGTCTGCTCAGTAAATGTACAGGTAGCTAAAGCGTAACTGCATGTCGCACCTCCTCCGGTGCCCATTGGTCAGCTGCAGGGTTGTCAGCCAGGAACCACCAATCTTCTGTGTTTTTGTTGCCTAAAAGGCATACTTGTCCCCATTGTGGTGTCCGAACAATAATGCTGCGATGATGTGTTGAGAAGAAATCCACTTGACACTGTTCTTGATCATAAAAGTTTGTTATACACCACGCCATCACTTGTCCACTTTTAGCATGTTAATTATTATTTCTTGTTCATTCAGGGAAATCTACCACCCCCTCTCCTCCTGATTCCTTCTCTTCCTCACCCACCTCTCTTCCTGGTTCCGCCTCTCCTCTCTCTGTGTTGTGGTCTGCTTTTCTATCTTTCTATCTTCTGGTTGTTCTGGTTGTTCTGGTTCTACTGGTTCTACTGGTTCTACTGGTGAGACGATGTCTCCACAGGAAACCTAAAGGTTAGACACAGACTCCATGTGCTACTGTTAACATTTAAAGTCACATTTCACTGTTGACACATTTCTCTTAACACTTTTCTTTAAGTCAGACGTCCATCAGGATTCTCATAAATTACATTGATGTTAATAAAACAATCTCACCACAGGGTCCATTTAGTGAACTGTGGAGCTTAAGATCACATCATCTTCCTTGATTTGAATTTCTGATCCTTTTGGTTCATTCAGCTGCTGAAGTAGAAGTTGAAGATGATGACATCACAGATGGCATCGCATACTGTGATGTCAAAATATCAAGTCACCTACAGCAGCCAATCAGAGGCAGCAGAGGTAACAATGTTTTATTCACTCTGTTTTTCAGGGACAGTGACTGTGTTCTTGTTCTTATGACTTTGTGAGGACCAAGTTGAGTTTTAGAACCTCAGAGGACATTTTGTAAATTTACAGTTTTATAAATAAGATTTATTTATACGTCTATTATTTTATAAATACGATACAAAGCAGTTTTAATCAAAATAAGTCAATGATAAATCAACGTTTTTTATTCCATAATGTCTGGTCTGTTGTGGCTGATGTGTTGCATGCGAGTCTATTTTGTACCCTGTGATGAATCTGTTAACAGATGCTAACATCTCTGTGGTCATCCAGTTTCCTGTTTATGGTAATGTTACTCTGCATATCACATCACTGCAGGATTGTTAATGAAAATAAAGAAATATACATGAATTATAAATGTTCAGGTATAAATATCTCATTCTGTTAAGTGTTACATTGAAACACTGTTATTGATCAGTTTATTTAATGTAAAAATGTAAAATTACCTTTTCCATAGAAAACTGAATTTACAGGCGCAGATAATGTGGGGGAGGTTTCAGTAGTCTAAATGTTGAGATTCAGTCTTTCAAACACTATTTGAGCCCCTTTTTAGACAAGAATGGATTTTTCATTTTGTAGCTGTAACACTTCTGAGTGCTTTAAATTAATAAATCTCATTTTTGAAGTGACGAGAATTTATTAGAAGGTTGAATTTAACAATTATTCAGTGCCCGAGGCTTTTAATGTGGAAATGCTGACACACAGCCGAGCTGAAGGAATAAGGCAAAAATTGCCACATGCCATAAGAACACATCAAATCAAAAACTTATTATAGGGTGTTAACCTGACACTGTCTTCCTGCATGTGTCAGCTGCAGCTGTGTTACTTAGACTATGTCACATTTGTCTAATGTTGCAGTTCTCTCTTTGTTTATAAAATATGCCACTCTGCCGGCAGTGACTTGTTCATGTGTGTGATTGGTCATCTGCTGCTAACACCGCCTCTTTTATGTGAATGCACTCATGGCTGGATTGGGAAACCCTGGGTTGACTTACTGAGTTGACCATTTAGCCTGATCGTAGTTGTTAGGTTTAGTGAAGCCAGATAACAAAATGATATCCTGGGTGGGTATTTTCAACTTGCTTCGTAGTTCAGGTCTGAGAAGTACAAATATGTCTGTTGTTTACCACCAAAGAGGGCATTTTGGTCATTTAATACTATTGAGTTTTATTCTAAAATCTATTTTTAGATCTAACATTATACATTACACATTGGACACTAACATGCACCTTTAGCAATGGTCACATCCCTTTATTTTCGGTCACAGGTGAGGAGTTCAAAGAATTCTCAAACTGACCTTGTTTTGTTTTCTACATTGAGTTCAGCAGGTTTCAGGACAGCAGAGATGATTCATGTGACAACATTTCTAACTTTGCAATCTGCTAAGATTGAATTGAATTGAAAATAATTATTAAATTAAGTGTTTAAGTGATTTCCAATAAAAGAGAAAATTGACTTAACAGACCAAATATACTTGGTTGTGCGCTGCATTTCTTTTTCCACTCTGAATATAAAACCACAGCAGCAACTTCCTCCTGTTGTTTGCAGTAAATTGGGGTCGGACGCTGGTGGTTTCTCACTATAGTGCGCTCTGTGTCAACTAATGATGTGTCCGTCTATTTTTTGCATTGTGCTTAAATGCATGAGCTGGTTTCACAGATGTTTTTATCATTTTAGATAAATACTTTCCAGTTATATTTTGTCGTTCACCTTTCACAGAAGTGATGTTAATAAGAATAAAACTGTCAAACCTGCTGCCGTTTTTAAAGTCTATAATACAACTTATAATTCTACATGAAAAATAATGATATTTGTATCTCCAGTATTATTACATGTGTTGCACTACTAGTAGTAGTGCAAATATACTAACAGTACTGGTATCAGCTGTAGTAACAGCAGTAACATATTCTGAGTCTGTCCTCGTGATTTCCAAAATGTAGGTCAGGTCAGGAAAAGGAGTTTGAAAATGCCGTTTTGGGAGGCATGGACAAACATGACCGGTAGGGACCAGTAGGGGAGGGGTACACTCATATGTGTCGTATTTGGAAGGTGGTTAAAACGACTTATGTTGTCGTTTAGGTTGGAGGACTATGTTGAACACACAGACCTGACAATGTTATTTATCAGCTTGTGATGCTACAGTGACTTCCTGTTTACATATCTTATTGCTCCTGATTGGATGGTGCTACAGACATTTCCAAGCTTTACTAGAGACATTTCTTAAGTTTTACTGGTGCAACCTCATTTAATGAATCACAAGTTTGAAACTCTTGTTAGTTCCTGAGAACTGAGTGAAGCAGAGTTGTTGTCTGGTGACGGAGTTTCTTTGTCTCCAACAGTTTCTCATGTTGTTTGAACTGTTTGTGTTTGTGTGTTCAGAGTTTCCAGCAGAGCCAGTGGTCGTCTACTCTTCACTGAGGTAGACCTTCACACCTTCACACCAGTCCAAACACTGATGTCCAGCTGGCCTGTAACTGGTCCCCAGAGCCCCTCACACCTCAGCACATCCATTTATTAGATTTCACTGTTAAAGCTAAATTAGACTCAGACAGCTACAAAGAGACAAACAGCTCAGGTTTACTGAATGTTCTTAACATTTTAAGATGTTTTTGGTATAAAAGCAGTGACATAAAATGTAAGGATTAAATAAATAGTTTTCCCTGTGAAAGAAGGTTTTTCGGTGAGTTGCACAGCACTGACATGATACTTGTTTCCTATATTTCTCCTGAACAAGATCTAATGGTAACTTCCAGTTTAATGTAATATCTAACTTGACTGTTTTTTATAATTTATTATTGTTTTTTTCTTCTTATTGCAACTTGTCTCTCTACAGGATCAATAAACTTTGGTCTAATTCTTGTTTTTCTCCTGTGGTTTTCTTGGTTTCACAATGCTGTCGTAGGGGAAAACCTGACCTTCTGGTTTGGATGTGGTGACACACACTTCTCATCAGATAATAGATAACTAAGAAGAAACAAAACCACAACCACAAACTCTGAACAGCATCATGTAGCTTCAGTACGATACGAGGTGCAAGTTTTTGATTCTTTAGTCGGTGATCTATCAAGATTTAGTCTGTAAAGTTTCTTCTCTCTGAGTTGAGAAGCTGTTTAAACATCATACATCATATAAATCAGCAGGTCCTAGTTTTCATGAGACTTAGAAACAGAGAAATTATATGTCAGTCAGGTTCCCATTTAAACACTGACACAGGCTTTCCTGCTTCTGCAACAACAACAATGTTGTAATCGTCCTGTTTATACCGGACATTAAGAGATCTCTTCCCAATGTGCTGAAATCTATATTAAACTTGATGTGAAGTTAACATGAGACTTCAGCGCTGTGATTTATTTTATTTTATTTTAGTTTAATCTTACACCTCTCAGACTGTGAGGACTGTTATTATTTCACTTTCACATCCCCTGTCTAGCTTGTGTTCATACTGGTCTGCCACCTAGTGGTGTTCTGTCTAAACTGCATCTCTACTGTCCTCATGGTGTCTTTATATCGACACAGACCCACAGGTAACAGTCATTCTCTGACCTCACAATCAATAAATCAACCAATCACCAACTACTTGCATACTGATAAGAAATGTATAACTATAATAGTTTGATGATTTTACATTTTATTTCTTAAAAAGATTTTTCTTTATTCCAATCAATCAGATTTCTGTGATGAACTAATGACAGCTTGATAAATCAACTCTCTATGATATATATAAAATAATGTCTCTTATCGTATCGGGTCAAAAGAAACCAGCAGACTTTACGTCCTAAAACTTCCAGAGATGCAGAAGTGAAGGTGGATGTTCAGAAGGTTTTGTTACAGAGTCGGACTCTGAGCGCCACCTGGTGCTCATGGAGCTGACAGACCAATAAAGATACAGAACAGAGAGCTGCTGTTCCTCCATCTTCTGCTCTTTCCTTCATTGTTTTACTCTCTGGGTGCTGCTGGCCTCAGGTTTCGCTGCTGCAATTCATAATTATTGAACTTGTTTTAGCTTTGTTATTATTGAGTTAATTAATCAACAGAAAAAAGACAAAAGATCAAGTTAGCAATTGACCCTTCGCTAAGCCACGCCACGAATACACAGCTGGCCAATCACAGCGCAGTACAGGACTCACTTTAACTGAGGTCCGACACTTTCATGGTCGCGCTCCATTAAATCTAAAGCAAAAACAGTCGTTTTCTAGCCTTTTTTTTGCTGTATTTTTCTAAGACATGGTCAAACGCTGTTCCTGGCGCACTTGTAATAGTTATAGTCGCTACCCAGAGAGGTTGAAAGGAGAAATACGATTTATTCTCTTTCCAAAACCTAAAACAAATCCAGGAAAATGTCTGTTGTTCCTAATGTAATGTAAGTTAGCTAACGCTAGTTAACTTCCTACTGAATGTAACGTGATAAATCCCCACTGCTTTACAGGAACAGTGTTGATCCTTAATGTCGTTGTCTTTTGTCTCAATCGTAGGGGGATGCGGTGATTCATTTGTACAGTGTGATCAGTACGCTTTAGCTTCTATCTTTCTTTTTTTTTTTCATGTCAGTTTTACTGAAGCCTGAATACAACCTTTAAATCTATAATGCAACTGCAAAACTGTCTGCTTCTGTCTGAGATCGCTCTTTCCAATAAATTTGACAGTATTTCTCTGGGGAGTGCAGTAATAGACAGTGGCAGCTCCGACAGTTTGTCGGACTTAGCAACAGTAACTGGGGGGGCGGGGCTTAGCAAAGGGTCAATAAAACATTTTGACATGAAAAAGTCACAATCACGAGATATTCAGATAAAAACAACGCAGTATGTCACATTTATGACTCAATAAGTGAAAAGTTTAACTTGTGTCATAATTTTAAAATACACATTTTTTATCAAGCGTATCAAGTTTCAGTTACTGAGAGAAATGAAGCTGCTGCTGTTTGTCACTTTTCTAAGTGTTATTCAGAGACACCTGTTCACCTGTTGTGTGACATCATCAGATCACCTGATTGGACCAAACCGTGTAGTTTACCTTGTTTTTCTCT